GTTTTTCTTGTTCATGTCACTTGTCCAAAATTAGCATGGCTTCACTCTATCCCCATAAAGTGGATAAACCCAGTCATAACTCCACTTTGACTGCTAAACTCCTGGGAAAAGGAAGAGTTGATTAGTCATTTGCTTCCCTTTATTTGAATAGGACTGAGCTGCTTTCTGGGGTAAGCGCTAAGTGTTCTTCTTTGGGCATCTTCATCTGAGTACAACTTCATGGATATTGATCTTGTTTCTTTTTGGACTTCTGAGATGATGCCTGCCTTTGAATGTGTTCCTTCAAGGCCAAAAGAGAGGAATTGATTGCACTGGATTTCTGACACCTTACCCTTGCCTTTATGTATCCTTTAGCCATTCTCTCTATACTTTCCAGTTATTTTAATTCACACTGATTTTCAACTCAAAATCAATCATAACCTCTGTACACACAATTCTTGCAGTGCTGGCTACTGGCTCTGCTGGACCAGTTGAGATCTTTGTCTAGCCAGCAGGAAAGTGAGAAGCTTGGTGACTGAATTTGGAAAAGATTCATTCAGTGAAATAAAATGAGTAAAGTTGAATGGACTGATTTGGACTGATTTGGATGGTTAGACTAAATAATGCATGAAACATGCATGTAATATATGACAACTGGAAATTCAAAGGGCTGATTGTGTATGTATTCACAAAGTATATTGTGAATATTCTGCAAAAGTAATGGCTGACCCATGAAATATATGTCTATGCCCACCCCATCCATTTATATAGTAATAATTTAAAATGTTTTAACTTTGGAAAATATTTATCTGCTTTTTAAAGCAAATTTCTTTCTTCTAACTGTTGCTCTCCTTGATTTGGTTGGATTGCAATAACCATCTTGAGTGTTGCTTTATAAAAAAATGTAGGATACACATTTTAAAATAAACAAATAAATGGCTTCCTTTATCATTTTGGGGTGATTTGTTTTGTTCCGCTTTATTCACTAGAACTGATTATCATCATCTTCTTGAAAGTAAGAGCTGTTTGATAATTGAATAGACTACCTTGCAGTGGGGCAGTCTTTAAAAGAGGTTGGATGGCTTAGGAGTGCTTTAATTGTGTATTCCTGCATGGCAGTGGGCTGGAAAACGTGGTCCTTGTGGTCCTTTCCATTGTGACCCAAATTTTATTATAAGAGTGGAATATATACATGTGAACAAAAAAGAGATGCTATCATATTCTAATGTTTGTGGCATCTTTAACCCAAATTGGGCACCATTCAAAATCTGTGTTTGCATTTTTAAAAGCATTCTTATATTTTGAGAATGAGTGCTTAAATATTACTTGGGTGTGTGGGCAGGTTTGTATAGTACAGCAGTGTCTGAAATATTTAATTTCCCCATAGGCAAACTATACAGTTGATTTCTGTCATCTAATTTGTTTTAAAAATCCCATAGACAAATCAACCATTGCTGATTAAGTGACAAGGCAGATCTTCTGGCATCACAGAGCATTTCTCTTCAATCTTTGCCCTTGCATGGAAATTTTAATGTGAAACTGATAGTCTGACACAGTCATACCTGTGCCATTAGCAAACGATATCCAGCTATTTATTTGTATTTACTTAGATGTTAGAAGAGAATACACTCTTAACAAGCCTGAATATAGAGGTATAGAGTTTTGAAACATTTCATTTCATCAATTAGAACTAGGGAAGGCTAATTCTTATCTTTTCTTAATGTACGCACAAGGCATTTGTTATGCATATCTATATATATATATGAATGATGCCCCTCTCTGATATCACACTTGAGGATAGCACACCATAAAAAGCCTTTCTTTGAGTGTCAGCAGAATGATAACCTGTATGTGCACAGTATGAGAAAATCAGTGCTTGAAAAAAACAGTTTGGACTACAACTTCCAGAATTCCCCAGTTGCCAAAATCTGGCTGGTTGACATCTCACAATAGTGATACACAGTAAACATAAGTGAAGTCTAGAAATTTTGTTTTATTACAAGTTTGAAAACATCCTGGAACTAAATGATAATGTATTATTATTGTATCATATTTTAAAGTCTCTTCTTCCCCAACATTCCCCAAAATGTTCCCCATAAACATTTTCAAGTGAGTTTTTTTAATCAAATAATATAAAAGCAATGCTACTTATCAATTATTTACAATTGATTTTTTTTTTTGGAAAGCCATTTTAAGAGCTTTAGAAATAATGGGTCTGCATGAAAAGTACATTGATTTTTTTTTTAAAAAAAAAAATAATTCCTGGTCCTGAAACTGGAATAAGAAATTCTCTGAGGTTGATAGAGATTTTGGCACCAGGGGGAGCCACTTGCTCAACTCTTGGTAGAAAAAAAAAATATTTTGTGATGTAACGGGCAAATAATAAATAACAAAATTTAACCAATAGCATATTCCATAGCAGGGGCTAGACCCAAAATTGGGTAGAAAGGAGCTGAATGCTAGAGATAATTGTATTTACATTTTATCAGGCAAACTGTGGAGATGATAATTCAACACTTCAATGGCTGAAGGAAATAAACAGTTTTTGTTTTTTGTTTTTTAAAACCCTTTGGGATTTAAATAACTGTGACTGATATACCATTGTCATTCATTTAAAAATAATATCTACAGTAGTACCTTGTTTTAATTTTTTTTTCAAAAAAGGAATCTCTATTACAAAAAGGGTTAATCCAGAGTGACCTAAATATTCATCACATCGCTTGGAAAAATTTGGAACACAGTTTCCAGAATCCCCCATCAACATGATCATTGGGGATTCTTGGACTTGTAGTCTAAAATGTAAGTTTTTCAAATCTTGCCCCTACCTGAATTCTTAAGTTGTACAGACTGTGAATAGTTTTGCACTTTCACCTGATATGTTCATGAACTGGACTCTCTGAGTGCTGTATCTGTGTGGTATACTCACAGCTTGCCAAAATTATTTTGTGGGCTACAGCTTCTGCAATACCTGTATTTTCATATACATAATGGACCATAATGAGGCTGGTGAGAGACTGAAGACCTGTGGAATGGCAAGAAACCAAGCATGGTGCATGATTCCATGTCTCCTGCCATTTTCACAGATCCTTGTATCTCTCTCCAGCCTTGTAAATACGTTACAGGTATGCAGCTCCAAAAGTTTTGTATTTTGGAATATTTTATATTTTGGAATTCCAGATAAGGGATGCTCGCACTATACTTGATCACGTTGATTGTTTAAACTTCCTGTACAGATTTATTTTACATACACATTGGATGGTTTCATATGCTAATACTATACCATGGTATAATGTTATAAGGCTAAGCCACAGTGAGTATTGGCCTTGCTTGCGTTCTCGCCATCCTCTCTCCTTTAGTGAAACTCAAAAGACAACCAAATTAGATTAGATTAATTATTAGATTTGTATTAAATTAAATTAATTAAATTAATCCAAAATTGTGGTCATTCATAAGTATAGTTTGTGGTTGGCACTGAAGCAGTTCCCCTATGAGAAAAGGTTACAATGTTTGGGCTGTTCAACTTAGAAAATAATATCAAATAATGTATGGTATGAAAAAAATAGGTAGAAGAAGTGGAGAGGAGTGATAGGAGCCTTGGACCAGGCCTCTGGGAGACCAGGATTCAAATCCCCACTTAGCCATGGAAACCTTTTAGATGGCTTTGGGCAAGTCACATTTTCTCAGCCTTAGAGGAAAGCAATGACAAACCCTTTGAATACATCTTGAAGGCATGAAACAACTCATAATATTACAATACAGGGCCAGCCAATGAAGCTGAAGTGGGAGAGATTCAGAACAGAAAGGAAATATTACTTCACATGGTACATTGTTCAGGTATAGAATTGACTCCAAGATGTTCCCTGCTGCACCAGAGACTGGGGAGTTTATTGCACACAGTTTCCAGCCCAATCCATGCACGGGATCAGGCTAGAACAGGGGAAAACGGGTTTTACTGCACATGAAATTGCTGCTACGATGCCAGCTGATCATCACCCATCCCTGATCTGGCCTCTCCTGGTACTACTGAAACCTGCATGCGACAAACTCCTAGGACACAGAACAAATGGATTCAAACTAAAGAAAAAGAGACTTCCTGACAGTAAGAGCTGTTTGATAGTTGAACATGCTGCCTTGCAGTATAGTAGAATCTTCTTCTTTGGTGGTTTTTTTAGACAGGGCTGAATGGCCATCTGTTGGGAGTGCTTTGATTGTGTATTCCTGCATGGCAGGTGGTTGGACTAGATGACCCTTGTGGTCTGTTCCAACTCTGACACTATATAGTCATGGCTGTCAATGGATGGCTTTAAAAGAGGAACAGATAAATTTATGGAGGATGGGGCATCAACTGCTACTAGTCAAGCTGGAGATATATCACCTCCATGTATCAGTAGCAGCATGCCTCTATGTATTGTTGCTAAGGACTGTGAGATAGAAGGTGAAGTTACACTCATGATCTTCTGGGTTTTCATATGCAACTGATTGGCTACAGTGTAAAAAGAGTTTAGGATCAGATAAGCCTTTTGTCCGATCCAACATTTTTGTTCTTAAATTCTTGGCAAACTATAGTCAAGATTAACCGCAGTTTGTCAGGTTCAGATGATGTGGCTGAAAACTCTTTTAGACCATACTGGAGAAGGAGGGGAGAGGGGGAGACTTATGTCTGGCTCTGAAGTAAGATCACTGCCAGTTCCTTTTCTTGTTGTTTCACTCCCAGGGATGATGATTATCACACCCAAGATTTCTGCAGCATTTGCAAGTTTTATTGCTTTTCATTGTTACAAATCATCATCATCCCACTTTTTATCCAGTTCAAGGCTATGTACAACAGTTAAATCGTACAAAACAGCTTACAAAAGTAAAAACAAACAACTAAATTATTTATTAAATTCATCAGTTCAAAATTAAAATAACAACAACATATAAATGTCTTGCATGTATACAAAACTTGTTTACCCTGAAAAATAATTGTCAAAGGGCTTCCAGAATAAAAACATTTTTACCTGCTTCCAAAAAGTTAGTAAGGAACTGTGTGGTGTAGTGGTTTGAGCATTAGGCTAGGAATCTGAAGGCCAGGGTTCAAATCCCTGCTTGGCCATAGGAACCCATTGGGTGACCTTGGGCAGGTCACACACTCTCAACTGCTGAAAGCAAAGACAAACCCTCTTGAGTAAATGTTGCCAAGAAAAACCCATGGTAGGTTCGCCTTAGGTTTGCATAAATCAGAACATTACCTGAAGGCACACAAGAACATCAGTAGGGATTAGAATTTAGATAAGGATCTTTTGGATATGCAGGTTGTGTGATACTGGTCTCATTAGAAAACAAATCTGTTTTGTGAGAAGGAATGTCTTACTTGTGATTCATTCTGCTATTATGAAACAGAAAATGGCTTCCAGTTTAGAGAAAGCTTTCCCAACCTAAGGTTTCCACATGTTAGACTACAGTACAGCATGCATTGTCCCTGACTGTTGGTCATATCAAGAATGATAAGATGTATAGTCCAACAACATCCAGGAACTTAAGATGGGAAAAACTGTGTTGGGAAGAGGTATCTGTGCACTGAGAATGAAATCTTTTATTTGTAATTATGTTTTAAAGATTTAATTATTTTGTAAATTAATATTTTAGCTTGAACTTTTAAAAATTATTATAAGCTGCTTTGAATCCCATATTGGGAGGAATGCATGATATAAATTCAATTAATTAATGCCTTCTATCCTTTGTTTCACTGTCTGAAGTTTTAATTCCTCTGCACCTATATCCATCTCTGTATCGATATATATCTATATCATTTATCTCTGTATGCACACGCAAACACACACACACACCTTTGAGTTCATGAGATTACAAATAATAACTATGAGTTTCAACCTATTTTCCTAAGGTTTTGAAGTCGGGTATTTCTTGACTGAGCAATGTATTTTTAGATTTAGGATGGCTGTGACATAATTTACCCAGCATGCTGTGCTCTTATAAAAATCCTGTCCATAGGGGACACAGGTATTACTGTGGCATACAGACGTCTCTTTACAATCCCCTCTTAATCCTTTGCTCTCATATGTCATTGGCAAGTCTGTCGCTGACTTCAATAGAACTGAAGCTGTACTGAAAGACTCCAGTGAACTCTGAGTGTCCTGGTTATGTTGTACTTGATAAGAAAAATCAGAATTGCCTAATTTATTCTCTGCAGTGAGTTTAGAAATGGATAGGCACGCCTGCCAATTTCATATATTTGGGCTAAATCAAGTATGAAATGCATTACTTTCTCAGTTCAGGAGAGTAAAAGTTCTGCTGCCAGATTTAAATGGCTAAGGTTGCAATCTTATACACATTTACCCAGGAGCAAGCACCATTTAACTCAGTGAGGTGTATTGCTGAGTAAACATATGCACTTATGCTGCTAAGCTAAGAATTCTCTTAGGCTGCATCCGCACTGCATAAATAATCCAGTTTGACACCACTTTAACTGGCATGGCTCAAGGCTATGGAATTCTGGGAACTGTAGTTTGTTGTGGGACTGGAGTGGAGGAAACTACAAACAATAAACTACAATTTTCAGAATTCCATAGCCTTGAGCCATGGCAATTAAAGTGGTGTCAAAACATTATTATTATTTTTTTTGCAGTGCAGATGCAACCTTACAGACAGGGAAGATAACTAGAAACAATTTTAAAAAAATCTCATCTTTGTCAGTAATTTTTATCTACGTGTAGAAACTCTTATAGCACCTGTATGCGATTTGTCCCCATACTAGCTCTGAACACAGCTGTGCATTAGCCAAGTGTTACCAAATGGTGATCAATAGTACACTGGTAGTTGTTCATCAGCCTTTTCAAAGTGCTGAATGCAGATAGTGGCAGGGAATTGTGTTCTCTAATGCTAATTTCATTTTTTACAAAGATCAGCAAATTTGCTTGTTCTGTATTCTTCAGTTTCCAGATTGTGTTCGTCCAATTTTCTTTTTAATGCTAGCGGCGTTGTGTTTATGAATTGAAAATGAAGGTGGAGTTTACACTCAAAATTATTATGGATCTGCTTTCTCAATCAGATACAAGAACCCAGCTGCACAACCAGCAGCCTTCATCCTCATTTCTTGTGGCTTTTAGCCAAATTTCAAAAGCCTTCTGTCAGTAATCCGTTCAGACCTCGAGTGAAAGTAATAGCACTCCTCTAGCAGCCATTGGACAAAGAGAGAAGGTAGTGTCAGAAAAAGAGAGAACAAGTTGTCCCCATTGCCCCGACAGATTAATTCCAAGGATATATGAGCTTCAGCAAAAAAGAGATTCCCCATACCTATTCAAGAAAAACGAGCAACTGCAACTTCTGTGCAACTGCAGAATATCCAGCATAGGAATGCTATTGGAATAGGAGTGTCATTAGGAGTATGTGGGGAATGCGAGTGCACCAGGTGACACTGTAAAGCAAGGGTAGGCAACCTAAGGCCCAGGGGCCGGATGCGCCCCCCCGAGGCCTTTGGCCCGGCCTCAGGCTAGTCCTGCCGTCGTTGCCGCCGCCCGCCATGATGATATTGATTATTGTTGTTATTACTTGTTCTTGGGGGTTTCTTGGCAAAATCTCCACAGGGGTTTTGTCATGGTTTTTTTGGGGCTGAGAGAGTGTGCATGCATATTTTTTAAATTTTTTTAAAAGTATATTTTTATTTATTTATTTATTTTTGGTGCTTCGGCTCCCCCCAATTGTCTAAGGGACAGCAACCCAGCCACCGGCTCAAAAAGGTTGCCTACCCCTGCTTTTTAAAGGGTGTGTGTGACACCACTGTTCCCCAGACATCTGTCTTTTGGCAGAAATGGGCTGTGGTGTTTGTGTCCTTTTTAAAGGAGAAGCCCCAGATATAATAATAATAATAATAATAATAATAATAATAATAATAATAATAATAATAATATAAAAATGCTTTTAAAATTTTCTTAAAAGACATCACATCTTTCCAAATTTTCACTTTTAACCACACAAAACAATGTACACATAAATACATTTAGATTCTGCATATGAAATTGTAATTTAAAGGTATCGTTCTAATCTTGTTTTATGTCATAAGTGTTACCATTACATTCAGTGATATACAGGAATTGCGATTTATGAGTAACAGTAGTACAAAGAATATTATCAATAATTTTGTATAGTGTGGTACTGGAGGTGGTCAATGGGGTTATGACGACACATTGAATTCAAAAAGTAGTTGAGAAAGTGGGACAGTAGACGATTAATGTGGACTGTCCCTGACAAACCAGGGCATTTGGAATGTATGTGAGCTATGATTTTGAAACCCAAGGCAGGAGGGTTGTGTGATTATTTTAAACTCCCAGGAGATTCTGATATAGGAACGAGTCAGTTCTTATGTCTAGCTCCATTGTCTGAGTTTCTTTTCTTCTGGGAGGTCCCATTGTGTCACATTGAATGCTAGAGTGGCCTTTGCCGTGGAGGTTCTCCTTTGACTTTTTCTTTCTCATTATATTTCTAGAGAGGGAAACACCATACGTCAAGGGGAAAAAAGGGAGAAATCTCAGAATATTTGGGGCATGAATAAGGCCTGATTGGAGATGGTGGTTGGAACAACCACTGCAAGGTGTGCAGCTCAAGAACATAATAGCCTGATATTTACTGGGATTATAAATCATCTAGTGAAACCCAGGGATACAAATGTTGTGTCTGAATGAAAATAATATTGTCACCTGGCAGAAGGGTAACAGAAAAGGAATAGTTTTACTTTCCCTTGATATAGAGTCCCTACTAATGCTGCTGTAAGTTTGAATATAGGCAGATCAGTTCTGTCAGTTTCTGCAGAGTTGCTCCTTCCCCCAAACTTCTATTTTTCTGCCTCTATGTCCCTGTGGATATTTTTAAGAGAAAAAAATCCCACAAGCTATGCATTTTTCAAAAGGGTCTATTAATGGATGCATGTCATAACTGATGAAAGTTTATTTGTGCAAATTCTGGAAATGCGTGTGATGCTTTTTTGCCCATGTTTGAATGTGCAGATTTTCTAGATTACATCTTTTCTCCTTCCTATAAAGTACATCTCAGATCTCTATGGATTTCTGAATGCAAACTGCATCTGATTCTGTTTCTAATCTGAAATCTGTAAATTTGAATAAATCAGTTTTTTAAAAA